ACAAAACACTGTTGCCCATTACTAGTCATTGCAGCACCTTGCTATGATCATTGTTGCAGAAAATGTGTCAATCTATCTCCTTGCAGCTCTTCTTTTTTGCTGGGCTTCTACTAAAAATAATGTCCTTCTCCAGGGAGTAGTCCCTCCTAATAATCTGACCAAAGTACATGATATGAAGTCTCGCCATCTTTATTTACTTCTAAAGAGCATTCTGAATGTACTTCTTCCAAGACAGCTTTGTTACTTTTTCCAGAAGTCTATGGTATATTCAATATCGTTTGCCAACACCATAACTCAAATACATAGATTCTTCTTCAGTTCCTTGTTACCATATATACTCATGGATAATCCGAGTTTTTCAGCACATCCTTAATGCCGTTTTTGTGGTAAAATTGGGTGCCTCCGCTGATATTCAGGTCTGCTTATACTCAAGTATATACCGTAATTGTCCAATTTTTTTCATACATATGGTACAATTGCAAATCCCATGACTTGGAATCAGGTGTACTTCTCAACACTTTAAATAGGACTTTTATGGTAGATTTTCCCAATGTGTCATTTGATTTCTTGGCTGCTGTTCTCATAGTGGAACCTTGTTGGCTTAGAAGTTATGCTTTGGGCTATGATCCACAAGGTGGGCAGTTCAGAACCTCCAGCTGCGCCTCAGGAGAAAGACAGATCTCTCTACTCCCATAAACCGTTAGTATTAGGATCCCACAGGGAGAGTTTTATCCTGTCCTATAGGGCTGCTATAAGTCAGCATCGACTCAATGACAGTGAGTTGGTTGGTTGGTTGGTTGGTTGGTTGGTTGGTTTGGTTTGGTTCTTATGGTCATTAATAGTTGATAGATCCAAATGAAATGAAATCCTTGACAAGTTCAATATTTCTCCATTTATCAATGTGTTATTCTGGGTAGACGAGAGAAACAAATTCATAGACACTCATGTGTATAAGAAAAAGGTTTATATACAAGAACAATTGAATATTGAGAAAACACTCCATCAGTCCAAATCAAGTCCATAAATACAATATTTGCCCATGTGTCCAACAACAATCTATAAAGTCCTCTTCAGACTCAAGAAACACAAGCAATGAAGTCAAATGCTGGAAGATCACAGGCCAGTGTGGGAAGTCTTGTGGATCCAGTGGCATTGTAAGCATCACGGCGTTGGCAGAGGATCTCTATGTGGTTCCTTCAGCTCTGAAACTCTGAATGCCTCAGGGTAACTTCATTTGGCTTCTCCTCAGAAATGTCTCACAGGCAGTGAGCCTTGTCAGTTGAGAGTCTCCAAGGGAGTGAGCAAAGAGAGAGTGTGTGTTTCCAACCTCCAAGGAGGAAATACTAGAGTTGCAGAATCCTCAGGATAAGACCATGCCCTCACAGAGGCCTCATTGACTATGACCTGATTGACAGGTAAACTCCAACCCTTCACTCGTAATTCTATCAAATTGACAACAGATTATATCACTAATACAATCAAGATGTTATCTATTGGGCTTTTTGCTTTCTTTGTGTTGAGGTGTAATCCATATTGAAGGCAGAAGTCTTTGATTTTCATCAGTAAGTGCTTCAAGTGTTTCTCACTTTCAACAAGCAAGAGTGTGTCTTATGTTTATCAAAGATTGTTAATGAGTCTTCCTCCAATCTTGATGCAACATTTTTCTTCATATAATCTAGATTCGTGGTTTCTTTGCTCATGATACCGATTGAATAAATATGGTGAAAGGATACGATCCGGTTGTACACTTTTCTTAATTTTTTAAAACCCTTGTTCTATACCAACAGTGGCCTCCTGGTCTATGTGCAGGTTCTGCAGGAGCACTACGAAGTGTTCTGGAATTTCCATTCTTCTCAATGTTATCTATAATTTGTTATGATCCACAGAGTTGAATGCCTTTGCATAGTAAATAAAACATGGGTAAATCTTTCTGGTATTCTCTGTTTCAGCCAAGCTCCAGCTGATATTGGCAATGGTATCTCTCATTCCACATCCTCTTTTGTCTCCAGTTTAAATTTCTGCTACTTCTCTGTCAATGGGCTGCTATAACCACTTTTTAATTATCTTCAGCAAAAATCTATGTGTGTGATGATAGTGCTTTTGTTTGATAATTTCCACATTCTTTTGCATCACCTTCCTTTGAGTTGGTCATAAATATGGATCTCTTCTATTGGAATGACCAGAGGTCTTACAAGCTTCTGAGTATAGATGAATGAGCATTTTCAGTATTGTGGAGAATTGTTGAAATATCTCACTTGGTATTCTATCCATTCCTGGATGATTTTTTTCATCAGTGATTTTCTTCAATGAAGCTCGGACTTCTTCCTTCAACATCATCCATCATTTCTCGATCACATGCTCCCTCCTAAAATGGTTCAATATTTGCCAGTTCTTATTGGTACAGTGACTGTGTGTTCCTTCCATCTTCTTTCGATGCCTCCTTCTTCGTTCAATACTTTCCCTGTAGAACTCTTCACTAACTCGAGGTGTAAGTTTTTTCTTAAGTTTTTCAGTTTAAGAAATGCCATACATGTTTGATCAATTTTCAACTGCAGAAATAGATAAAAATCTTTAATTTCCTCATCTTTGGCATTAGTGTTTGGTGGGTGAATTTGAATAATGGTCATATTAACTAGACTTCCATGTAGACATGTAAATATTATTATATCACTGACAACAAACATTGCACTGTACTTCAGGATAGTTTTTTAATTGTGAATTGGGTAAAGGTTTACAGAGCAGCTAAATTTTCCACTCAACAATCCATACCCATTTTGTTTCACGCGACTGATCGCAATCCTCACAATGTAACATCACTTATTCCACTTCCTCCCTGAGCTTCCCACATCCAGTCCTCCTTCTTTCCTAACCCTTCTGAACGTTGTCCTTGGATAAATGCTGCCTCTTTTATCTCCAATGGTGGACTATTCTAAGCTGTGTGTACCTCAATAGTACTAAGGTTCCCCTTATTGACGCTGTCTATTGTTTGGCCATGGGGGGTGAGTTCTTGTCCACACCTGAGAGAGGACTAAATGCCACAGTTGCAGAATAGATCTTGAAATGATTTTCTCGTCAGTCCTGGCATAGTAGACCATATGACTGCCTGATTCAACACAGCCAATATTAGTCCATTGCTGCTCATCAGTCCTTCCAGCATCTCTTTCCGTATTTTTTAATCATTTTATTGGGGGCTCATATAACTCTTATCACAATCCATATTATACATCAATTGTGTAAAGCACATTTGTACATTCGTTGCCCCCATCATTCTCAAAACATTTGCTCTCCATTTAAGCCCCTGGCATCAGCTCATTTTTCCCACTGACTCCCCACTGCCCCATCCCTCATGAGGGCTTGATCATTTATAAATTATTATTTTGTCATATCTTACACTGTCCGACATCTCCCTTCACCCACTTTTCTGTTGTCCATCCCCCAGGGAGGAGGTTATATGTAGATCCCTGTAATCAGTTCCCCCTTTCCAATCTCTTTCCATTTTTGAGAACTTCCTTTTTCCTGGATTCATACTTCATACAATCCACATTCAAGGGTTGTTTTCAGCTGTTTCCTTTTAATTTGTGTCATGCCACATCAGCAAATGAAGGTCTCAAGAACTTTACTAATTTGATGTGATTAAAGTAGACTCTTGTTTGATCAGGCAGCTCTTCTCTAATCATATTCTGAGTGCCTTCCGACCTGACAGTCTCATCGTCTGACACTGTGTCTGCCAAGTCCAGCAGCTCTTCAGGGGGTTATCACTGGTCAATGTTTGCAGAAGTAGATCTACAAATACTTCTTCCTAGCCTGTCTTTCTTTGGAAACTCTGCTGAAGCCTGTCCATCATGAGTGACTCTGCTGATATTTGACAATTCATTGGCATGGATTCCAGCATCAGAGCAACATGGAAGCCAGCACAGTGCAATACACTAACAGATGAGTTGTGTCATTAGTTATTATCTAAACATAAAACAATTTTAAATTTATGGAAATAAAGGAGTCACTTCTGATGACATGTAAAAAAATGTCAATACTTGATGATTAGAGCCCACCCACTGAAGAAGGAAAGCACAGTGATCTGCCTCCTAGAGAATACTGACAATAGAACGCAGCGGAGAAGTCCTGCACTTGAACTCACGGGGTTGCCTTGAATCAGAATTGTGTGTGTGTGTGTGTGTGTGTGTGTGTGTGTGTGTGTAGAGAGAGAGATCTGATGAACATCATATCATATTAGTGACAAGAATATTCTAAAATACCAGCACATAGGAAACTCCCATCCTATTCTTCTGAATTACACTTCTTCTGTTCCCAGTTTCTCAGCCCCTCTCATAAGGTTATCTATAACTCCCAGCATCAGATCATTTCCCTCCCATTCAGCACAGATCCAGGGTGGTAGCAGTAAACAAGGCTCAAAGGGTAAATATGATATCTCTGATAAAGACGTTTTGTCATGTTTTATTAGAGTTAATTTCTTTGGGAGACATAATTTACTTCATTGGATATTCATAGCTATGTAAGTATCAGCCATAATACAATGAGTTTTTATCTCAACTAATTCTGAAGAATGTTTATATGTACGATGAACAACTTACATAGAGTTGAGTTTGAACTTACAAATGAGTTTCAACTCTAACAGAAAAGACAACGACCAAATATAAGAAAGAATCTTAGAACATTTATTCCATATATACTATAATAGAACATGCCAATAAACACAATTAGATACTTTCATTCAGTTCTTACTGATTAAACAGAGGCTTGATACAGACCTAGTCTGGTTACCACTAGTTATAGAATCTTCTTTCCTTTAAAACTAAAGGTGCCAATTGTCCGGAAAGTTCAAGACTGAGGTTACATATGTACATAAGCCTGCTCTGTACAATGAACACAGTTCGAAGGGCCTCACTGGATGGTGAATGAAAATGATTTTGAACTACAGAAGTATGCTGTGTTTGTTTGTTTTAAAGGAAAAAAATCATTGTAGCTGTTTTTCCTTCCTTTAGGATTTTCCATCCTCCAAGCGATTATGGAAGCAGCCGTGCAAAACAACTGGCAAGTGACAGCACGGTCTGTGGGAAACATAAAGGACGTCCAGGAATTCCGGCGCATCATTGAAGAAATGGACAGGAGACAGGAAAAGCGATACTTGATTGACTGCGAGGTCGAAAGGATTAACACGATTTTGGAACAGGTACATTGGATATTTATTCTCCACCTAACCAACATGTTAAATCGTCAACCTGAAGCAGTTTTCATATCTGCTAAGAAATTAAGTAGCCAACAGACGAAGCATGTCAAAAACTTTTGATAGTCTCTAATTCTTATTTCCTCCCCCGTGGCTGAGGGGTGAAGGGTATGAACTAAACTCATGAAAATTGCATAATATGATTCATTGGAAAACCTCTGCCATTTAGTACTACTTACCAGATAAAGAAAGGGAGGGAGCTCTGGTAACATAGTGGGTTATGCTTTGAGCTGCTAACCAAATGGTCAGCAGTTCTAACCCACCAGCTGATCCACAGAAAGATGAGGCTCTCTGCTCCCATAAATGTTCAGTCTTGGAAATCCTAGGAAGCAATTCTACTCTGTCCAATAAGGTTGCTATGAGTCAGAATCAACTTGATGACTGCGGGTTTGGATTTGGAGTTTATCAGATAAGGATCTCTGGTGGCACTGTTTGGGAAGCTTTGGGCTACTAACCACAAGGTCAGTGGTTCAAACCCACTAGCCCCTTCACAGGAAAAAGATGAGGCTATCTACTCTCCTGAAGATTTGCACCTCAGAAACACTATATAGGGTTGCTGTGAGTCATAACTGACTCAATAGCAATGGATCTGGGTTTTTCATCAGATAAGCACACTCCTCCACAGTTCTGTTTCATTCAAATCTATTTCAAAGTAATCCTCTTCTTCTTGCCATCCCTTCCTCCCATCAGGAATGGGCAAGATAGTAGGACAGAGAGGCAGGGGTTTTGTTTAAGCAGTCTAGTTGCCGGAATACTCACTACCCCCAGATCTTTCCAAAGAAGGTGAAGAAAGAGAGAAATTGTGTTGTGTATGTCTCTGTACTTCAAGAACATATTTCTAAGATGGTTTGGGGGGCGGTAGTGATAAAGACAGGCTAAGAGGAGAAAATATGATTTAATGGGCAAAATATATTTATTATTAAACTTGGATATTTACATTTAACACAAAAAAAATATAAGAAATGTTTCCCCCTACGCCAGATAGATAATTTGTTTGGGATAAAGAATCTAACTGACATGGGGTGCAAGTTTGTTATTTTCCTTAGAAGTCTCAATATTCTGGTTAATAACAAAGTGCCTGTCCTACCATAAATAAAAATGCAAGGGAAATAGTTCCTTTCTTCTTTGATCCTAGTGTCCCTGGGAGCCAGGATAACCTCAGAGATTGCAGTGATAATAAGCATCCATTTCCTGAAAGAGCTGTTTTATACAAAATAAAATATTAACAGGTTGTCAGATATGCCTCCATCTACTAGTACAAGAAGAGAATTTTTCTAAAAATGAAGAGAAAGAAATTGCTGACTCTGCATCATAAAGATACGTACAAAGCTGTTTCCTTGTTAAGATCAGCATCTCATCTAGTGAATCACATCTCACAGAAAATCTAGAGCACTAGCCTGATTAAATCAAACTTCTCTACTAACATTCTCTTGAGCTACACCCCATCCCCCCACCACACACACACACACACACACAAACACACACAAACTCTGATTTTCTTAGATCTTGAAAGTGAAGAATCAGGTCAGTGATGTTGGTGCATGGACTATATGCCCTCTAAAATTTTCTACTAAAATAGCCTTTTAATGGGTGACCTACTTAATAGCCCAAAGCAAAGGAACATCCTCCTTATCATACTTTGTTTTCCGTCTTTTCTGTTAGTGACTTTCATTTCTTGAGCGTCTTGCATTCTGTTAAATCTTTTGATTTTATAGGATCTTATCCTGGGGTCTAGGATTGTTCTGCATGACGTAATAGAACAAACAAAAGGTGGAGCTCTGAATCCAAATAACACTGTGGGAACTTGGGGCACACAAACTACTGTTCCTCAGTTTTCTCAACTGTAGAGCAGGGATAATAAAGTTTGTTCTGCTTATCTCACAGTGCTGTCATAATTGTTCTGAAGGCATAGAATGTCACAGAAAAATATCCATTATTATTACACACTTACAGGAAAACTAAACTATCATTATGTGAAAATTTAGTTTTAGTCTCTCATCTCCTGTCAGAATTCCTGTATTGCATATTATGCTCATGAGGATATCTCCACTGGTGGATAGCTGCCTGATTCAATTACCAAAGTATGTGTTAACCTATGAACAGGTTGTCTCTAATAGAGTTATCTGCCTATGGCTGAATAGATCCTCCATCACAGTAGCATATACCTGTGGCCTTCTTTGCAAGGTCCTACTGCCATTAAATTGATGCTGGCTCATATTTCAAAATATGGATCTTAATATTTATTTAGAAAGGCAGAATAGCTAACTTTCAGAACATAAGTTCTGAAGCACTTTAGCATGGATTATATCTCAAGCTGTGTGATCTCGGACCAGTTACTTGATCTCTCTGTGCTTCCATTTCCTCATCGTAAAATTGGAATAATCACTTTACCTTCAAGAGTTAAAGTTTTCAAAGCATTTAGAAAAATACCTGACATATAATGTTTGCATAATGCTTTGTTGCTGACAAATTTTCACATGGGTTATCTCATTTGATGTTCCTTATATGGGAGGCAGTCAGGGCAGATACGTTTAACCCCACCATTTACAGACAATGAAATGAGACTCAGAGGTAATTAAGTGACATATCCAATGGTTGCCCTCTGCTCAAACCTAGTAAATAGCAGAACCAGGACAAAGCTCAGGTCTTCTAACTCCTAGTCAAGTGCTGTTTACCCTACACTGTACCACCCACCTTAATTTGTAAGTCATTCATTAAATAAATATTTAGCCAATGCCACCCCCTAGATTTGGCCTGCTTATCAGGCTTAATCTTAAAACAATTGCAAAGCAATTGGAGAAGATCCAGAGAAGTGCAGAGAAAAATGATTAAAGCCTTAGAAATAGGGCCTGTGAGGAAAGGCTAAATGAGCTGAGACTGGTTAGCCTAGTGAAAGAGAGCCAAGAGGCAATTTAATCACCAGGCTCAAGCATCAAGAGTTATTATAAAGAGGGCACTGACCAACTGTTCTACATGTCTAAGGACAGTGCCAGAGCAAATGAGCTTAACAAGACTAGAGAGACGGTCAGCATTGGAAGAGACTTGGTAAGGAGTGAGGAAGCTGGAAGAAAGCAAAATCGCACCAGTTCATGGTATGTAAAGGTGGGGCATTCTGAATTAGTGGGCAGGTCAATCTAAAATATTTCTAACATTTGTTCTCAAGAGTATACAAATATTACAAGTTAATCCTCTGTGTTGACAAATATAGACCCTTATAAAAAGAAGACTCACGGGTTGCATAAGAGCGCTAGATTCATTTATAGGATAGCTGAACCTAACAGCAGCTCTGAAGGAGAAAGACTTAGTAATCTGTTCTCATCCATACTACCGCCTAGAAAATCCTATGGGACAGTTCTACTCTGTCAATCAGAGTCACTATGAGTCAAAAGCAATTTGATGGCATCTAGCAACAACATAGAAGACTTCTAATGAATAGAAAGGATGTCTAGTAATTTGCCTATCCATTAACTATTTCAAGAGTAATTCTCTTTAAAAATATTTAAACATTCCTCATCAGTCTTACCCATGTTTTTATTTTTTCCATAGATAATTCAAAAGTAAATCTCAGCATAGTTCCTGCCTAATTTATATAACACTTGCTAACTTAGTGAATTCCAAACCAATGTGTTTCAGTGTGTTACCTAGAAAAATTATAGAATACATGATTTATTCTAGAGCTATTCAAGGCTTAAGGCTTCAGACCTTGTCTGAAGGTCGGCGTCCTAAAGCAGGTCAATTCCTGAGATTCTATTCATATAAGGAAACTTGGTCAACTCAAAGACAGTAGTTTAAAAAAGGAAACACTCAAGTTATTAAGTCACATTTCTAAAAGATAATAATTCAAACAAGATGAACAATATTAGATGTCTTTCTAAAATATTAGACTGTAACCCAAAGGAGATGGTGATCACTCCAAAATGTGTCTAGCAATTGTAGCCACTAGCCACAGCTAGGCATGTGGACCAGTAAAGCAAACATATAGCCTGTGCCTGCTTCTTGTCTCAACTTCCACTAAGCTGATAGTGGTCCTCTCCTCTTGGATGCTCCTCTTGGTCCTAGTCCTCGCTTTCATGGTTCATTTAGGTGACTTGATAGTTCATAAAACAGTTTCAGTTGGTACCACTCCTCTTTTGAATATTTGATTTGCTATATAGTTAAACAAGCAACTTTGGGACATCAAATAGACTTGATTTAAAACCTAACTCCATCCATTCACTGGGTAAAGTGATTTAACGTCTTTGTATCTCAATTTTTCTCATCTTAAAAGATTTTTCTAATAACTTTTCATGGACGTTGTGAGAACAAAATAAGATATGTGGGGAAAAAAACTTGGCTTAGTGCTTGGCACCATGTAATTGCTCGATAACTTGTATCCATAGCTTAGGAAAATTAGTTAAGAACTGTGTTGCTGAAGAATAGGTTCCTCATTATGGCTCGTTTAAGATATCAGTTCAATCTAAGGCCATGAAAGTGAAGTCTAATACTTTCATTATGTTTAGGTGTTACTAATATGAGTTAAAGATGTTAGAATATCTTCCCTTTTTCTGTTTTAGAGGAACAAGTGTTACCAGGACTGTTTAAGACTTGACTAGATTTTTCAACATCACTTAAATAATTAAAGGCACTAAAACTTTGAGCTATGTGTGATATCTGAACACTTTTAGTAACAAATATGCATTAGTTACTTACTATGTTTCAGATACTGTTGTGAGCAGTTGTTGTTCTGTGTGTGCTTGTATAGCTCATGAACTTCCAAGAGTGGTACAAATGGTTAAGTGTTCTACTACTCACCCAAAGGTTAGCCATTTGAATCCAACCAGGAGTGCCTCAGGAGAAAGGTCTAATGGTCTACTTCCAGAAGGTCACAGTCATTGAAAGCTCAATGGAACCACTCTCAAGGAACACCACAGTCAATTGGCATAACATAGTCCACAAAGAAAATGCTCTACATCCTACTTTGAGAATTAACTGACAGGGTCTTAAAAGATTGTTATTGTCCATTTACGGTGCAACTTATTGGTCTCTCCCCCATCCAGAGAAAATAAAAATGATGAAAATCAAAGATGCACGGTAAAATCATTCCAATAAGCTAATGGACCACATAAACATATGCTTCCAAGTCTCTGAGACCAAAGAACTAGATGGCACCCAGCTCCCACTACCAATTACTCTGATAGAGATCACATTAGAAGGTCATGGATAAAGAAATGTGGCACCAAATTTTAAATGATAAGAAACACCAGGCTTACATGTTAGATAGAGACTAGTGGAACCCCTGAGATTATGGCCCTTAGTCACTCCTCTTGTATAGAAATGAACTAACACCCCCCCACCACCACCACCCATAGCTCAATGTTTAGCTAACAGGTGGGTCTATAAAGGGGAAATAGCACTAGTGAAGTAGGCACACCTTAGAATAATCATTTGCTTAAGATCAAAAGGACAGCATTTACCGAAAGACAAAAGTTGGAAAGGTTAGGAAAGGAGGAGGAGTGGAAACAGGAAACATAAGAAGGAGATAGGATCAATCCATGATATTACTACATTAAGGAGATTGCCATCAATGCGATTACACAAAGCGTGTATGAGTTGTTGAGTAGAAAACTGGTTTGTAAACCTTCACCCACTTCACAGTAGAAAGTTCAAAGCAAATAAAAACAGGGTAGTACAGTTCTACTCTGAGGAATATGGAGTCAGCCTGAGTAAGAATTGATTCTACAGCAGCTAGTTTAGGTCACTTTAAAAAGTCTGTGGAAAATGGAATTTAACAATAGAGTCTTTCCCAGACAGTTGAAGCTGCCTTATGTGGGTGTGTGTGTGTAATATGAACTAATCCTCATTTTAGTCCCCTAAAGTTGATGAGAATATTATCCCCATTTTTTTCAGATAAGAAACCTGAGACCTATAGGGGGTCATACAGCTAATAATTGGGGGAGCCAGAATGGTCAAGGCCAGAGGATATGACTATGGGTCCTATTCTGATAAACACCACACTAATCAGCCTTGCATCTGACTGAGCTTCTCAGTGGGAGTACAATAAACTGAGTATAAGTGAGAAGCATCAGTTTGCATTCAGGAGCAGCTTTGTTTATGCAACAACCATTTCACAGATATTCTCTCCACTTGATGAGGAGACATATCCCATTAACACACGGAATTGAAAACATGCCCCGTAAACCTATCCTTTGGTGAAGAGCTCATTTATGACAAACAGGTTCATTTACTCACAGTGGAAAACAATCAAACTATGGAATGGGCCCCACATAAATTGGAATAAATTGTAAGGGGTACTTTTTAGGGTGATATGAATGTACAACTAGCTTTCCCATCTGCATGGATTTTTCATCAGGTGAAAAAAAACCCCAACTTCCATCGGTATACCTAAAACTAGACTAGGTTGTGCCTATTTCCTCCTTTCCATGCTAGGTGTATCTGGTAGGTATATTGTTTTTTTCTCCACTAATGCCCACAAAACCAAGCATAAAATAGGGCTGGTCCCAGGAAAGCAAAAATGCCCATAGGTTATACTTTTAGTGGTGGTGTTTAGCTCTTCGGGACCACTAGACTTGAGCAACCTTGTTCCAAAGGGTACTTCCTCCCTCCCACCCTGTATCACTTTGTAGACATAGTTGAGAGGACCCCCTGCCTTGTTTTTGAGGGTTCCTCATACCACAAACACTGAAACACGCAGAGTATCTTTTTGCCTATTGGTCTTGCAAGGTGTTTTTTTTTTTAATTTAGTAACTGGTTGATCATCAGGAAAAAAGTGGAGATGAACACCTAAGCCAATTGGGTTCCGCAGACCAGAGCACATAATTATGAGGTTGAAAAAGAGACAATGTTAGGGACCGTGGGGGATAAAATAACAGCTCTGCTATAGGAAACAAAACTGACTCCCCCAAATCACTCCAAGTGGGGGATTTTGGTAGGTCAGTTTCCCAGCTTACTGTATCATCTCCCTCTACACTACTTGAATGGTGGCGTTTGGGAAGGCTGGTAGAATTGCCCAACAACTCTGAATCAAAAAAGTAAAAAATGTGATGGAAGTAGACTTACAGCACATGATTTCTTGGAAAACTTGACAGGTATACCTTATCCCAGGTTCAAGTGGGTCCACTTTTCATGCTGGAACCCTGGAATCACCTTCCACACTGCCCTTCCCTACCCTTGCAAACTTGCCACCCCACAGGCAGTAGGGCTAACCTCAGGGAAAGTCTGATGTTCGTGGCCTAAAGGTCAGTTTCAATTGTATGTTAGGTTGGGCCATGAACAGAAGCGTGCAGCTACAACAGAGCTACCCTGAAGCTACTGTTTAGCTACAGAAAAGTCTTTCAGCATCTTCAAAAACCAATAAGTGAGGGAATTGACAGGTGTTACTTACCTGGATTTCATAGAGAATATCCATGTAAGGGAAATAAGGGCTGAAGACAATGGGAGCTGTGGGAGTGGATGAGTAATTGTTTCCTAAAAACTAACTGCATTATGGAAAACTGCATAGCATGTCCTGGAAAAAAATGAAAAGTAGAAGCACCCTATCTAGCAATACAACCTCTAGGTATATAATTTAGAGAACTAAAACTCATGACACAAACAGACAGGTGCAAACCTATGCTCATAGTATTATTTACAATGGCAAAAATACAAAAAAAACTTAACATCTCATCAACAGACGAATGCATAAACAATCCATGATACAAATACACAAGGGAATGCCATGCAGGCATAAAGAATATCAATACGTTCTCAAAATAGACTGTAACATGGTTGAATATGGAGGACATTATCCAGGGTCAACTTTAAGTCAATCACAGAAGGACAAATTCTGTATGATATCACTAAATGAGTATAGGTGTCCATACAGAAAGCAACTTTCTTTGGTAGTTACCAGAGATGAGGAGTGGAAGGGCAAATCACTATCTAGATGTAGACACAACCAGACCAAAATGGCATGAAAAGTACTCAAAA